TATTTAAAATTTTATATGAATTAAATAAATATTCATTGAATATAAGTAAAAATAGTAATTATGGTTTTTTTTGTAACGCACTGTATATTTAGAGAAAAATTATATAATACATATATTTTGAAAAGATATAATTAAAAAAATAAAATTATAATAAAAATTTAAATAATATATTATTTTTAATTATTATTATATAATAACTTTTATAAGTATTAAATTAGATAGATTAGTTTATGAATAAAATTTACTATTTAATTTTATAATTATAAGCATTATTATATTTAAATAATATATTATATAAAAATAATTTTATTGAAAAATATAAAAGTAATATTATAAATAATAATTATATTAATAATTAATATTATAAGATTATATAAGATTTATAAAAATATTTTACTTTAATTTTTAATTGAAAATATAAATAATAAAAATTATAATATAAAATATTTAATTATTTTAATAATTTTATTTTAGTTTATAATTAAAATTTTAGTTCAAGATTAATTCAAATTCAAAATTAAAAAAATCTTCTAATCTTGTAAACACAAAATAATTTAAATATAAATATTTTTAGATAAAAATAATAAATAATAAATAAATAAAATTTATATAATTTTATATACAAATTATTCTTGCAAATTATTTATTTAATATATTATTTAACAAACTTATCTAACTTATCTTATTATCATAATTATTCTTTTTTGATTTCATTCTTTATTTTTATTTATTATTAAATATTCTATAAAAAAAGTTTATAAAAAATCTGATTTTATTAGGCTCAGACCAGATGTTTTAAGTTCCAGAAAACATTTGAAATTATAACAAAATTTCTAACATAAAATCTGATATCAATTTAATTAAAACTGAATAATATTTTGCAATAATTTTTAAGCTATATTTATTAAATTTTTCTAATTAATAATGGCGATTTTTCCAAAAATGGTTTGTGTTGAATAACGAAATATTAAAATCTATTTTTTCAAAAAAAATTAATTTAAAATTGGTACATTTACTTTGAAATTAAATATATCATAATTTACCAAACATAATACCATTATTCCATCATATCTTAAGAAATACGTGCTAAATTTTGTTTGATTTTGGTTTAGTAATTCAAAAAATATTTTTTATTTTTTACTTTGAAAGGAAAATAAATAAAACATTTACCAGAAATAATCTGTCAACGATATCATCATCTAATTCCCCTAGTCATAGAAACTGAATGAACAGCGTTTTCGGATTTGGGCCAGTAGATGTTGAGAAATTGTGCACCAAAGTTGTGATTTTTTATTTTCGCTGATTTTTCCGGTTTTGACCATTCCGGAAGTTTTGGTATAATTCCGGGAGTTTTTCGGAGCTCAAAATACCTGGGTTTTCCTTTTAATTTTTTTATAGGGATGAGGCGAGACTAATGAAAAGGGATTTGTAGACTGATTGCACTATGATACCAAAAGGATTTGTGCATAAGAAATGTTTTAGCTGGCCAGGTATGCTTCTCTCGATGGATTTGAAATCCACGCACAACACATGCACTACATGCCAAACTTCTCATTCTGTTTGGTTATTCGAGAGTGTGAGCATACACAATGATTTTTCCGTTTCAGTTGGCAGGCGAACGTATGAAAATTGAGAAAAGTTCTGGAGCCGTACCAAACCTCACTGGGAGAAGAAACTTTTGATACAATACAGGGAAAGAAAATGTATTTTAAGAAAAATCAAGGAGAAATATCGTCTGGAAAATGTCGCTAGAAACTTTCATTTAACTGTTTTGCTCATCCATGATATAGCAAAGCTTTAGAGACAAGAAAAGCGACTTTGTACTTATGCACCGTGATTTTTATCTGGATTTCACGGTTGTTAAAACGCTAAGTAAGCAAGTGTAGAAAAGCGGACATAGGCATTGTTGCTAAGAAGGTTTCTTAGCTTAATCATATTTTTCGATTGTCTTGTATAGGGTTTATTACGAAATCTCGACAGTCCATAAGTCCAATAAACGAAGTCCGGAAAGAATGGCATCCCGAATGATCGAAATCCCGAAATTATAGCATCACATGGAATACCCAAATTATAACGATTTCAGGATTTCGTGCATTTAGACTTTCGTCTTTCTTCGGATTTATATCGGGTTTATGAACTGTCGGGATTTTGAACGTTGCCGCTTGTCGTCGCTTGTACAAAGCGATTAATCATGGTTCTACAATTTCACGATAGTGAATATCTCCTCTTCATTGAAGATATCTTCTTACTCTTTTTGGACCGGACCTCTTTATGATAATGGAATTGTGCATTTGAAACGGTTACTTTGCGTTGAAAGAACTAATGTCGCGTTCGAAAGTAAATACTGTGATACTGAGGTATAATGCGTTCAATCGTTACATCTTCCGAAGCTTCTTTTCGTAATAACACTTTCAACATTATCCCTCAAATATACTAAGAAACTCATAATTTGAAAAATAAGTACAATACCTGTAAAGATCCTTTTTTTGAAGCCATTCACTAACGATTCAAGTCAGGATTTAAGGCCAAAATACAAGATATTTTGGAAATATTCGATTGGGGTTTCAGCGTTGAGGGGGACTTAGAAGATAATATTCTCATAGCATTAGCAGATATCGAAACGTTTACATACAGGTTCAGTGTTGATTGTCTAGTGCGAGAACTTTATCTAATATTACATAAACTACGAACTCGCAGGCTGTGCTATTATTCGCGTTTGTGGATCGACATTCACGACAAGGTTAAACTGTTAAATGGGCAGACTGCGTGACATAAATGAGAGGCGGGTGTGCTGAAGACTAACTAATTTGGTTAATAACATTTTGATTATCATAGCCATAACATGTATAGAAATTTATGTCATTAGTTTTAAATATAATTAACATTTAAAGTTGAAGTCATAACATGATTAATATAGGATTATATATAAAAAATATAAATATGAAACTAATTTACATCAAATCTATTCTAAAGAACAACGAGAAAAAATTACCCTATATGTTTTTAAAATCAATGATACCCAAACTCTCCAGGACTATCTAGATCAAGAAAAATTACTTATGAAATTTATCAAGAAGAACGACTGCTTAAGCACATTCGTGAGCTTGATTCGCATTTTGCTTTTGTAATTAAAGAGTCAAACAATGTAAAAATAATTCAATTTTTTCGTAAACACAAATTTTATTATTTCGATTCCTGAATGCGCGCTCTTGAAATATAAATAATATAGCACCAGATTGCATTATCTCCCTTACTATCACTATTATTAATAATATTATCGCTACGCTACCATCTATTATTTCGTGTTTCAATTGTCTTTTTCCGCGAGGTTGTTCTTCGAAGATAAAAATTTCTTATTGTAGACGTAGCAATGGCCTTTTGTTCGTCGAGCAACTTATGAATTTCAAACGCTATTTTGTTAAATGAAAATTTTGGAGCCAATTTAATTCTTTCGTCGTATAAGCGTTTCAGATCGTTCCGCAACTTTTCGATTAAATTTTGTTCGCCGCTGACAGTTTTTTTATGGATTTCAACTTCGTCGATTGAATTAGGGCTCCCGTATTATTAAGCCGACCATTACAGATTATATGCCATTTAGCAATCGGCCGAGAACGAAGCCAATAAATACTCCAAAAAAGAATTCGCTTGTGAATGTAAGCATTTTTCGTAGTGTTATTGTGGAAATTGACAGATTCGTTTTATTGCTTTAAACGATGTATTGCTTCAACGATGTTTATTGTGTTGTGGTTGATTTCTGAGGTAAGTTAACCAGTGCTGTTTTTATAATAAAATATCCCGTTTGTTTATCATACACTGCGGGGACGATTATTAGACAAACGCGAATGTCTGCGCATTGATTATCATTGTTTCACATTCTGCATACAGGGTACATTGTGGAAAAGGTCTAGAAAGTTCCTAATAATACGTCATTGATTAAGCTTTAGTATATTAGATCACATTGCACAGCAGCATCATCTCATCGAAAACAAACCAAACAAGAAAATGGCTGAAAGAATTGAACTATGCGAAGAAGGAGCGGAGAGGACGTTGGCGAACTTCGATGGAGATGTTGACGGTGGGCATTGGCTGAAGGAATTGAGAAGAAAGGTGAGGACAGGGGGGCTCGACGACAACGAGAAGCAGGAGAACGCAAGACTGGCGGACGAAGAGAAGAGACTGGAGAAGAAGCGGGAGGACTAGGAGAAACAAGTGCGTCTGTTACAAGACAGACTCACAGCAGCTACTACTCAATCAGGTACGACTTTGTGACTCGGGCATTGGGGACATAGAGTAGTGTGTACATAGGGTAGATAGACGTAGTAATATGGTTTTGATTATAAGTTGCTATTGGATATTGTTGCCAATTTATACTTTTTCCACCTGCTATGAATTTGTCAGTGAAAAGTATATGCGTGAGGGTTATTATTATTAGTTTCGCTTTTCGTCATTCTTAACCACTTGTTGCTACCACTCGTATGTGTGCCCGTTTAGTTACAGAAAGCCGACCCCGCTCGCCGATTACTGAATTAGAGCGCTCATCTAAGCGCGCAAGGAGTAAGTTTTAAAGAACGCTAAAGCCGAAATTGAAACTTGTGTCTCACTCAATAAACCCGTCATTGCTTCTAGCCCACAAAACTAGACAAAAAAATCTTGAAGTTCTCGCTGGCATTGCGCCTAGTGATTACGCCACTTCTAAATATGCCGAACACATCCCTGACATAGCTATTCACCATCACAGACCCGCAAGCCTTACTAATATCTCAGTCAGGTTTTATTGCGAAATTTTCGAGAAATTTCAAAATCTATTTGGCGATGATGTTGATATGCCTCCAGATGCCAAAGAAACATATACACAGCTCGTGTGGGAACTAGCTGCTCAACTGTCAGATCTCGAGTTTGTGGAAGCGAAGCGTGAAGATATTTTCAGAAGATTCCTGGACTACCTTTTGGGTAATCTCACTCCGGCATTGGCGGCAGTAAATTTCGTTGATCAATATTTTAAGACGGATGCCACGGTTTTCAAGACCATTTCCGCCATGCGGTTTCTAATCCTCAATCTGGAGGTGAAGACAGACTGGGGGACTCAGCAAAATTCTTATCTACAGAATGTTGCATATTATGTTAAGATTCTGTCAGCACGTATGAAGGAATACGGAAATTATGCTAAAAATACTTCTTTGCCATCATTCCTCCTCACTTTAGATGGTATCCCTTTTTTTTGTTTTTTGCGACAGTTTCGATATACATGCTCATGCATATTTAAAACATTTAGGTTCACACCTCATGATCTGCGGTGCGGTCGTGGCTGATTTCGTCTGCGTGGACAAACTCACTCCATCAATATGACGCTCTATGACAACGGCATTGCTGAGATGGCAGCTCGCGCCTTGTGGGCTCTCGTGTCCTGTGTGGACGATCTCCAAAAGCACTACCAAGATCTCATAAACGGTCTGACAACTCCCAGTAAATTCACCAATGGACTTTACCCGCGGTTTCCAGAAAACATCACATATTTGCAGAGAATAGGAACAAAAAATCTCTGGCTCGCCGAAATGGAGGGTAATCAATCTCGATATGTTGTTAAATTTACACGACAGTACGGCAAAGTTGTCCATGAGACATGCTCAGAACTTGGGTTCGCTCCTAAACTAAGGTACTTTGAGGCGATTTATGGGAGCTGGAAATTGGTCATCATGGATTACTTGGAAGGGTATTCTCATCTTAAAAGCCCCTCAGGTGCCGATTGTGCTAACAAAAAGCAAAGCGTTTTGAATGCAATTAGTGCATTTCATAATAAAGGTTTTGTCCATGGAGATCTTCATAGCGTGAATATTCTTTTTGGATCAACTGGTGATGTGAAGTTTATCGATTTTGATTGGGCTGGAAAGGACGGCGAAGCTCGATATCCAGAAAGCCTGAATCCCCAGATCAACTGGCACAAGGAAGTTGGGCTCCACAAGCCCATACGTTCTAGTCATGATCTCCACCTTGTGGAGGTTACCTTCAGTCCCCCAATTGAAACTGTCAGGAGGAGTCTTTGCGCGTGGAACAGAACATACTACAATCCTGAAAAAAAACAAAGTTTGTTGTTTCTGGTTCATTTCTTCTGCTAAATATGAATAATCCGCAAAATCGCAAATGATGATAATGAAAATTGCAATGTACTGTATATATATTTTAGAGTAGCGGTAGTGAATTAAATCTAATTAAAAAAATTTTTATTTTTTTTTAAATTCCCCTTCATTAAATTGTTGTTCGTTGGTGCCTTATTTGGATACGAGCAGAAAATACATCGTATAGGGCGTGGTTAAGCGTGCGAATTAACTAATTTATTAGTACGACCCAAGCTTGGTAACATCCCCCGGTTGGTGAACACGCGTACGTGAAAGATAATATCGCTCTCCCACACAAAATATGTACCAACTGTAACAATATAAAAGTTATCAATAAAGGTATTCAGTCGGCTAAATTTATATGTAATTCTGGATGCTGCTATGTCAATAAATTATGCTTCATTTGTGAGATTAATACTAGACGTCAATATCTGTTAATCGATTTTGAATAAGCATCAAAAAGGTAAATCGATTCTACAAGAAATAAATAGATTTAGAATAACGGATTCATTGATTGTCAAATAAACGACTCAGAATCAAATCACTTAACGTCGCATATGCAGCTTAATGTATGATATCGATACAGTTATAAAGATAACAGAATATTAAAATTAATATATAGGACTATCTGTATATGTTAGATAACGAATATAATGCTTCCACCGAATACGAAAAAGCAATACATTTCTTAAAGATAGGTTGCACTTGTGGTTGTTCAAAATGATTCCGAGAGAGAAGTGTGCTGAATTAAGTGAAGCGTTTCAAGCTCTCTCTAAATCCGAACAAGATATATTTGTAATGGCCCAGCCGGAAGCAATGAATGGTGGAGAAATAACTGCCAGTCGGCGTCTTAAAAAAAGGACGCGTACACGTTTTATTACTGAGATCGCAATACGCCTCTTTGCCAAAAAACGTATCTCAGTATGTTCGGAATTGGTCACACTCACTTCGAAAACGTCAGAGACCATCTAGTAGCGAATGGTATAATTCCACGCATTCATGGTAATATAAAACGAATGCCGCGATGAAAAACCAAAATAAATATTGATCTAACCGTTGCTACAGCCGTGAAGAATTTTCTCGAGAATTATGCTGAAATTCATGGATTACCAAATCCCGGCAGAAATGTCCATCGTATTATTCAATTACTTACACTATTGCCAGTCGAAACGAGCTATAAATCGGTCTATCGTGATTTTATTGCAGGCCTCGAAAACGGTAGCACGTTGAAATTGTTAAAATATGATGCGTTCCGCAAGTTATAGCACCAATTAATGCCTTATATTCAAATTATGAGTCCAAGAACGGATTTATGTGACATTGTTAACATTTGTGGAATGGATTACAGTATAATGCTTGTAAGGAAGAAGAAGCAAGAGACTTACTAAAAAAAGTACAAAGAACATTTAGTTAAGGCTAAATTTGAGAGAAACTATTACAATAAAAATACGAAATTAGCAGAGCAATAAAGAAAATTAGTAGACGAGAATTATCGTATGGCAAAAGGTAAAGTTAATTATTGCAGCATTGACGCTATTGCTCATTACAGTTATGATTGAGCACAAAATATTCACGTACCCCATTCCGATCAACAGGTAAGATTTATTATCTCAGTCCACGCAAAGTGCATTTATTTGGCATCCAAGCGGTGTGCGAACAAATTAATTAAGTTCTCGATGAAGATGAAATTATAGGAAAAGGTCCTAAGTCTGGTATTTGATGGAATAAAGAAATTGAATAAAGGTGAAAAGTTTGTAACAACGCGGATGGACAGAATAAAAAATTTAGTAATTTGTGATTATTATGAAAGCATCAAATTAAATTTTATGATATCTGAACATACTAAATTTAAGTATGATGGTAGTTTTGGATTGATTAAGAAATTATATCGTAAAACATCAGTAGATTGCGTGAGATTGTGAAAAAATCAAGTAAAGCTGGATCAAATAAAGCTCAGTGTTATGAAAATGGAAAAGGCTTTCAATACTTAGATCTTAATTCTGTGTTAGAAATTTTCTTTAAAAAATTGTTTGGCTTACAAAAATATTAGTATTTTGTATTTAAAACATCCAATCCTGGAGTTGTCAAAGCTCAATGATTGTTAATAGTGCTTTTATCAAATTTAATTCATTGAAAACCAGAAAAAAAATTGGTTTCAAAATTATTAAAGAAATTAAATTCTTTTTCATCCTAGTACTAACCACTCCTCCTTTGAATTATAAAAGGCAAGAATATCTTTATCATAATATTTGCCTATTTGTTAAAGATGAATTTAAAGTCATGACTTGTTCAAAACCAATTTATACCAGCAAAGAATAAATAATTCTCTTAATCATTCAATGCTCATTAATTTTCTCGCTATTCATTAGGTTCTTTTTCAATAAATATTACTATCTTTTCCACTTTTAATTTTAAAGTTTAAATAAAAAGAAATATTAAAATAATTATATACTTAATATACCCTTAAAAAGAATTTAAGTATATTAAAAGAATAAATAAAAATAAAAAAATCATGATAAATACCATAAATAAACTTGAACAGAAAAATAAAAATCTATTAAAAGAAAATAAAGTATTAAAAAAATAACTAGTTAATAAAGAAGAAAACTTCAAATAAAAAATTTATAATACAGTTAAAAATATTAAAAAGAATGAAAACTCAGAAGTGACTATTATTTTAAAGATTTTGAAACAATATTTTTTATTTAAAGATAAATAAGTAAAGATTCAAGAAGAGTATGAAATTAAGAAAATTATTTTTAATAATGAATTTACTCTTGAAAACTTTGTTAAAAATTATATTGATTGAATATTACTTAACTATAATTCTTATATAATAGTTATATTTCTAAAAAAAAAAAAAAATAAAAAATTAGAAGAAAAAAATACTTTTTAGAAAAAGAAAATACTGAGTTAGAAAAAATTAATCAAGAATTAAAAAAACAAGAAAAATTAGAAGTAAGAATAGAAAAATTAGAAAATAAAGTGAAAATAGAGCAAGAAAAAGCTAAAAAGTAAGTAGATTAGAAAGATGAAAATTCAAAGTTAATTTAAAGAAGATAATTTGAATAAAGCTTTTATAAAAATAAAATTTCATGATATAATAAAACTATATGATATGTAAATAACTTCAAGAATTATCAGTCTTATAAAAAATTTAATAAGTTTAAATTATTAAATAGTAAAATAAAAAGTAAAATGAATCAAATTAAGAAAATAATTAAGAAGGAGTTTAATATTTATATCTTATAAAAGAGTAAATAATATAAAATTAGAATATCAAATTAGTTAATTAAGAAAAAAAAATAATTGATATTATAATTTTTATTCTTTTAAGAATAATAAAAACTTAATTATCATTTATAAGATAATAGCTTACAATACTAAAACTAATAATTATAATAATATTATCTATATTTGTGTTAAATATAAAGAAAATCTTGATAATTATATCTTGTTATATTATAATAATTATAATTAAGCTATAAGAAATAGAAAAAAAATAAATTAATTAAATCTCTTTTAGTAATTAAGATAATGAATTAAAGTTATATTAATAAACTAAAATAATAAAACAAGAATTTAAAATAGTAATTTAATAATATTAAGAAAGAAATTAGTTCTTATTTAAAAGTTTTAGATATTTCAAAGAATTAACATAATAAGCAAAAATAAGAATTATTAGATAAAATTCAAGACTTGAAAGTAAAATGAATTCTTAAGAAAATAGCAAATTCAATATATTACTCAAATTGAAGTTAAAAAAAATAAGAAATGATCTTGATTAAAAGTAAAGAAATAATAACAATTTAGATTTAATTGATGATTTTCTCTTTATCTAGATATTTCTGAAGTATTTGAATATCATTGATTTTAAAAATATAAGAAGCTATTTTTTTTTCTTACTCTCTTTTTAGAAATACTTCTAATAGTACTGTAATTCTTTGGTTCCATAGTAGATTTGATATAAATTAGATTCATATCATATTTTTATATAGAGATAATCTTATATTGAACAGGCTATAATTTTAGATAGTAATAAAAGTTTGCTACATAAAATTTATGTACAAGTTATTGTTGTGATAATCAAAATGTTATTAGTCAAATTAGTAAACTTTCAGCTATATCAGCCTCTCATTTATGTCACATAATAGAATGTTCAGTCTGCCTCAAATTATAACGATAAATTATGAACTACATGTAGTAGTAACTTTGGATGAGCTTGCGTTAATCTGTCTAATACATGTAATATGATGTGACTCAAAAAAATTAGAGGTTAATGTTGCATTCCTGTCTCGATGCATGAGCTTATCGCCAAATATATGTAATTGTTTAAAAAAAACCAAAGTGATAAATATTTGCAGTATGTGTAAGGTTATATCTAAGTTCGCCGAATTTGAAATTGCGATTCATCTTTTTTGAGACATCAAAGAAATATAACAAAGTTTTACATTTTCGGCATGAGTAGATTTGTATTTCGTAGCAAGTATCAGAAAATATGAAGTGAGCTTTTTCTGATGAATCTTATTGTCTCGTTTTCTTCACGTACTTTCTTGATTATTATGTTTTTCCTCGTTACGCGGGATAGCTAAAGTCTGCAAACACATTCAGTTTAAATGACACAATAACGTACAGTCAACTATCTTTAAATGCATACCCTTAGGACCATAGGACTACTTTGACAAAATATGCACTTAGAGAGGTGTGAAGTTATTTATAGAGGGAAATTTTATGAGTCATATAAGCTTGGGAGCGTGCATTTAAAGAAGACATAATTAGTGTATGCATTTATGGCGGATGCATTTAGGGAAGTCTGGCTACTGATTAATGTTGAATTTGAAATAGCTACGGTTTCTAATAAAAAACACTGAAAATTTTCAGTTTGACTTCTTTTCATTTTTGAAAATTTTTGATGTAGCAATGTCAGGACAGCTATTTGGTTATGGAGCTCATATAAAAAGAGAATTACTGTACTTGAAAATGAATGCATCCTATTGCAAATAGTCTAGAAAAGATTCTCTATGTAACAATGTTTTTATTTCAGAAAAAAAAAATATTTTCTTAGACCCGGGTTTAAGAGAAAAAGTGAATTTGCGCACAAACAAACAAACAAAAATGAAGATTTCGTTAAAAATATAAAGCAGAAAAAAATTAACTATATATAATTAAAATAAGAACCGAAAAAAATAAAGACAAAAAAACTCAGTAGTAATATTTCTACCC